ATCCGGGATGGGGAGCAGGGTGGGGTGGGAGGGGGGTGGCTTTCCAAGGTGGAGGTGATGTCGCCCATTGAAGAATTGAGGTGTACGTGGGGTGTGGTGAGAGGGAGGAAGTCTCACCTAGGCCCCCTGCTCCTCTAGACCCGGGTCTTCCTGGCCTCAGATACTGGCCCCTACTTTGTATTCTCCCAGCCACCAGCGTGTGAGTTCACAGTCCCCAACTTCTGAGATGTGTTCTCCTCTCTATTCCCAGGTGTGTCCCCTCCCCCACTGCAATTCCCTCTCCCTCCTCCCCATTCCCAGCTTACCTCTGGAGAGGGAACACATTCTTAGGAGGGAGCTGCTTCCACCAGGAGGGCCTTGGGGGCAAAAGTTAGAGAGTCTGGTGGCCATGCGGCTCCCATCCTGATTGCACAGCCCGGGGGCCCAGCTTCTTTCCCTCACCTCACTTCCTCAGCCCCTGGGGACACCTAGCCAGAACATGTTGCATCTCCAGGCATGATGCTGGGCTCCGGGAAGGATCTGGGCTTGAGAAGCAGGAAGCTCGACCTGGGACTGGGCATTAAGAGGGCAGAGAGCCCAGGGTTGTTGGAGGGGTGTGGTGGAGAGAGACAGAGAGAGAGAGAGAGAGAGAGAGAGAGAGAGGGAGAGGAGAGAATGGAGACAGAGAGAGATTGAGGGAGATAGATAGAGGATCCACTTATATGCTTCTTGGGGTACAGCTCTACATGGGGTGCAGGGAGAATGTACAAGTATTTTTGTAAGTGCCCAGCTACACGTGTGTATACGTATCTTGGTGTGTACATGAGTCAGTCTTTGTATATCTGTCTTTATCTGTGTATACGTGAATCTGTATTTGTAAATATATGCATAAATCTGTATGAGTCGGTGTATATTTGTGTGTGGAGTGTGGGTATATTTTCAACGTCTCTGTATATTTATGGATATGTCTGGATGTTTGTGTATCTCTGTATAGCTTTGCACCCTTACATGCCCGATTCTGCGCGTGCATGTGTATGTGGGTACTTGTACGTCTTCGACCCATATGTTTGTGAGTGTGTATGTATGTGCATGTCTGCCATACCCGTGTACAAGTCTATGTTTGTGTGTGTCCGTGTGTATCTGTTTAGGCACGTGATGGGATGCAGAGCTTCAGGAACCAAAAGCACAGTATTCTCAGATGTGCTTTGGTTCTGAAGGTGCTGGAGTTAATGGCATAGGACAGGAATGGAGAACCACAGAAGAAGTGGAAAAGCAGAAGGTGGGTCCCCTGAATATCAGCAGGTCCCTGGCAACCGGATAATGAGCCTGGGCATTGCGATGAATGTCACCGATGCTGGACCCAGGGACTACCTGTAGGTACCCGTCTACCTTAGATGGACATCAGGTAGGAAGCTCCTAATCACAGCATTGTTGGTCTTCCCAAGGGCAGAGAAAGGGGGCTGCCTGGGGGCCAGATCCCCACCCAAATCCCTGCCTTGCATACTTCAACAAGCTAATTCTTGATGCTCAGCTTCTAAAAGAACCATGGAATCTGGCTGTGGGTGGTGGGAAGGATGGTCAGCAAGAGAAGCTTTGCATAGGGAGCTCTGGGTCCACTATTTTGGCTGAATGGCAAGCTCCCTCTTATCAGCCTCCACTTCTCTCCTTGATGGGGAATGAGCTGTAGCCAATGCCAATTGCCCAACATGTTGCCAGGCAATACGAGAGATAGAGGGAGGGAGGGGAATGGAGAGGAGCTCAGATCCTTGCAGACTGAAGCTTGCTTGAGGCATGATAGGGTAGATAAGCTACCCCTCAAAGGTCCAACACTGTCAGTTAGTGGGCCTTAACTTCAACAATTATATATTCATATCTTTGGATGTTTAAGGCCTTTCCGTCTTGAAAAGCCCTTGATTGAGAAAGCAAATACTGTCGGGAGAAGAAACTCCCGAGAGTGTTATCTATTAATCCGTCTGGGAGGTTGATGGGTAGCTTGCAGAAAACAAGGTTTTGTGAAAAGGAACACAGAAGGGAAGGAGGTGTGTAACTGTCAGCGGCCATGGGCTGGGAGGGTTGTGGAGAAGAGAGGCCATTAAAAGTGGGGATAATGAGGCAGAGGTGGTGTCTTCACTGTTTCCTCTTCCTGAGGACCCAGGAAGGCTGTTCCCCAGTATTCCTTGCGGTGAAGTTGGGGTCTTAGTCATGCTAGTGAGCCTGGCCAAGGCAGTGTGGTTGGAAGTGACATAAGCCTCTTCCGGGCCTGGCCTTTCGATGGTCCATGAGCCTCCAGGTCCCCCTTCCCTGCCGCTCTTGACCTGGGCTCCCATGTGTCTGGGCACACCCACCAGGTGGAGGGAGGGGGCTGTCTGACCCACTCGGTTCTATTAAATCATGAGGTTTTGAGGTTTTCGGGTTCCTGCGGCCTAGACGCCTAGTTTAGCCTGACACATAGAAGGCGCCAACAGATTTCCTGGGTTTTCTCAGCTGTGGCACGGAAGTCAACCTTGCAGACCCTGGAGTCCTAATGCTCGGGCTTCGAGGCCTGGCTCTGCCAGTCTAGTCCCTCCTCCTTACTAGCCTCAGCCCCCCTTCTGTACGATGAGGGTTGCAGTAGAGGACATGTGTCGCGCCCTGGGCCCATTGGGCAGTTAGCTTCTACGCGGAGTCATTCAAGACGCAAGGGACCTGCTAGGAGGGAGCGTGGGCTCCAGTTCAAACTTCCATGGATCCCAGATTTCTTTCTCCATCCGACAGCCACGCGACCCCTCCAGGGTGGATGGATCTCGCCACGATGCGGCAGAGCCCAGCCGGCAGCGTTATCACTACAGACAGCAGCCTTCGGCCTGGCGCACCGAAGCCGTGACTTAGCGCAGTGTGGCTCGCCCGTCCGGCTCACCCTCGCGAGTTCACACGCTTGCGGGTGGGCCCAGGGGCGGCTGCCGCACTGAGGAAAGGGAGGACAAGGTTGCTTCAGGCTGCTCTGCAGGGAGCCCCCCTGTGAGCCCAGCTGGGGATGCCTGTGAGTCTCCCCGCTCCAGAACCACTGCCTCCACCGCCGTCTCTGCTGGTCAGATCTCTGGACGTGGCCCGAAGCCGGAGGGCACCCCCGGGGAGGTGTTACCCCACCAGCTTGAGGATGAGGTGTGTGTGGGGGGTGATGGGCCTGATGCCTTCTCCCCTGGTGGGGGAGGGGGGGAATCACTGGATTCAGGCCTTTGCGAGTGCCCGCTGCTCCCACACTGGTCCCTCCCGAGTGACCCCCAAAGCTGCCCCCTCCCCGTCTCCCTGCGCCTTCTGTAGAGGGGCGAGCCCTCCATCCCTAGGCAAGCTCACTGCAGCTGAGACCACAGAGTCATGTCTCCGCTCCAGTTTTTCCAGACGTGGTTTTACTGGGAGGTAATGAAACTGATTACTTTGGGGCCTCCCTCTTGCAGGAGCCCCTTCTGTTACCTAATTTAGTATTATTTTAAAAAGATACCCCAAATTGTATATCCTTCAGGCTTCCTAAAGACCTAAATCTGCTCCGGAACTCTGCCCTGGGGAGATGCCTGGGCGTCTCACGGGAGGCGAGCCCAGAGGGGAGGAGGGGGTGTCAGGCTGATGGAGGTGTGGGGGGACCAGATGCTTCTCCGGTGACCTCTCTGGCTCCTTGCTCTTGCTTTCTTCCCTCAGCGCCTGGACAGCTGGGTTCTCCCTTGGTCACTGACTGTGTGACACAAGTCATTTTCCCTCTCTGGCCTCAGTTGGCTCATCTGTACACAGGAGAGTGGGATGAGAGGGTTTCTAGCAGTAGAAGACTGACCACTGATTAGGGCCATGTGGGGGGTGGCCTGGCTGGCCAGCAGCTCACGGGGCACTGGGCCTCACTGGAGCCTGTTCACTGGTGTTGCAAAGAAGCACCACCCAGCTAGAAAAGGGCCCCGGGGTCTGGGAATCACACCCCAGCCTAAGGGGGTGGGGGGCTAGTTCCACTCCTGGAGTGAGGGGGCCCGATGCGTGTGAGTATGTGGGGGTCCCAGAGAGAGAAGAGAATGGTCCTCTCCTGGTTGGGGACGGAGCAACGGAAAACTTCGCTGACAGTCATGCTTCCTCTTTCCCTCTGAATTGGGGATCCACTCGAGGCAGAGAAAGAGACCCCCACGTCCCTGTCTAACTGATCTCCCCTAAAATGGGTCCCGAGTTCCTGTTGAAAGCATGGGGCTTACTCTTTATTAAGCTGAACCTGACCCTGGTAGCTGTGGGGAAGGCTGAAGCAGCTTGGGAGGGGGGCGGGGAGGGGACAGATGCCCCCGGGGAGTTCACGCTTCCCTTGTGGGGTTGTGGGTGATGGGGTTAGATGTGGGTTTAAATCCCAGCTCTCATGCTTCCTGGCTGTGTGGCCTTGGGCAAATGACTCAGTCTTTCTGAGCCTCAGTTTATCTTCAAAACAGGGAAACTAATATCTACCTCAGGATTATTCTACGGGTTAAATGAGATAATGTGCGTGACACTGGCGGGCACTTAGTAGTGCCTTGTGGCCACTCATTATCACTGTTGTTCTCTCTACTCTTGGGAAGGGGGGCAGCTCAGGTGCTACTGCCCTAGGGGTCCAGGGAAGCAGACAGAGGTGAGGCAAGGGGTGAAGGGGAGAGTGAGGTCTTAGCAGGGAGGGCTACCTGTCTGCCAGAGCGCTGCGAGGCCCAGACACCTGGGTCCAGTGTGGCTTCCTGGGGTGCACAGTAGAAACGAAGGCCCCCCTCTCTGCCTCCCCCCCTTGCCTAGGTGGGTGCCCTAGTGGGAGGCCTGGAGCCCAAGGGTGAGCAGATGGAGCCCCGGGAAGGGGCCCTAGTGGCCGATGGAGTAGGCCCCTGAATCTGTGGACCGCTTCTCTTCGGTGGTCTGGTCGCTGGGGTACACTGTGTTGGCCGAGGCGGTGACCTTCAGCGTCGTCTCGTCCACCTGCAGATAGAAAGGCTGGTGTTATCGTGCTCTAACTATGGGGAAGGTCCTCCTGTGGGGACCCCACTTGGCAGACACAGCAGGTGGGGCTCACGGCCTCCTTATCCAGGAGCTCGAGCAAGTCTGCGTGATCCCAACAGTCTTTCCGTGCACCCCAAGGGCAGACAGGAACCTGAGCTAACCAGAAACGGAGAGGGGCAATGAGTAGATGGGGGTGTCGGCAGTGATGACCCACAGAGCCCCCAAGGGTCTCCACAGAGCCCATTCTTGGCCAAATCCCTCTTTTCTGGACCCCCAACTTGCACCGAGGCCCAATGAGCTCCCCTGAAGAAGTCCCCAAAAGGGGGAGCGATTGAGAGTCTCTGGGGCCTAGTGCCACTCCCTGCCCTGTCCCTCCACCTCTCATGCGCCTGCCCCCACCCTCTCCAGCTCACCTCCTCAAACTTCTTGGCTTTGTACTGGTCGGCCCCCTTGAGGAAGTTCAGCAGGATGATGTCACAGAGGACGGTCCCCTGGAGGAAGAGGCAGGGCGGATTCAGTGGGGCTGCCCCGCGAGGGGAGGAGCGGGCTGGCAGGAAGCCGCAGTGGGCACGATTGCCCTCAGGCAGACAGCAGGCCAGGGGCCGGGAGGAGTCCTCCAAAGACACCTGACTGATGTTTCCACTTGGAAAAATGTCCAGGGGCTTGGCAGAATGTCTTCATCACCTGAATCTCCAGTTCCTGGCAGTGACCCCAGACCAAAATGCAGGGAGAGGACTTGATGGGAGAAGCGGAGGGTGAGGGGGTAGGAGTCCCTGGGAGCAGGGCTCTGTTCCTTAGGTCTGTGGACTCCTGGAGTCTCCTCCCTCACCTTCACGGTGGGGAACAGGAGCTCTGAACCAAGTCTGTCCCTCCCACAAACGGGGAGGTAATGAGCTCTCCGTGACTGGACATGTTCACTCAGGACTGAACCAGTCTGGGGGTGGGGGACAGTCCCCTTGCCAGACTGAAGCATCTGGCAAGAGGTCAGGCTTTACATTTAGGCAGAAGCAGGGCTTACCTGGGCCACTCTCATCCCTTGTAGCTGGAGCCCCACCTTGACTGGCTTCCTGTCTGAGCCTGGAGGGGCTAAACTCACCACTCCCACAGAGGTGAAGGCTGCCACAGAGCTGATGATGGTGGGGATGATGTTGAACTTGCCAGCCTGCATGCACAAAGATCCAGGCGAGTGGGCAGAGGGTCAGGTACGAGGTCCTGAGGCCTGAGACCGAACGTGGACTCGCAGCCAGAGAGAGCCCATGGGTGGAGGGTTCTTGGAGGACCAGCAGGCCCCAGCCCTTCATGCCCCAGCCCAGGCAAAGAGACTACAGATGTGACTAGCTGAGGCTCTCAGAGCTGGTCAGTGGCAGGACCTTGCCCCCCCGCCCCGCCCCGCCCCCAGCAGAGGAGGCTCTTCGGGGCCCAAGACCCGTCTGGGTTTCCTCCCCTGTGCCCCGCCGTCACCCCAGCCCGAGGACTCACATTCCCGTACACCAGCACGTCAAAGCGGATGCCAAAAGCCTTCAGGAGTGTGCGGTATTCGCTGCCATTCTCCAGCTTGTAGTACTTGGCGAACCTGGAGGCCAGAGGCGGCAGGTGGGTCGCCCTGGGGACTCCTACCTGAACCTTCAGAGTCCCCTGGAGCCTACAATCTGTGCTTACTGAGCGACTCTTATCGATGGTTTTGCTGGACGCCTGCCACCGTCCTCCCTGTGTGGTTAGCTGGCCCTCTGCACAGACGTCATCTTCGGGGCTTGTTACAAAGGCAGATTCCCAGCCCTCCCCCAAACCTGTGGAATCAGCATCTCTGTGGGTGGGGCCCGGGACTCTGCCTTTTTAAATGATATCCAGAGATGATTCTCATGTGTATGAAAGTCTGAGCTGTGCTGGACTCCACGCGTCTTCAGTTTTACTTGTTTGGGTATCTCAGGGCCCAGCTCGCAGCAGATGCTCCCCTCCCATAGGCTTGTCAGCCTCCTTGGGCTCAAAGCCTGGCTCTGCCACTTATCGGCTGTGCAACCTGGGGCCAGTTCCTTAACCCCTCTGAGACTCAAGTTCCTCCATTATTATTGGTCATAATATAGAAGTCCTGCTTCCCAGGGGTGCTGTGAGAATTGAATGGAACCCCACACCCAGGGCGTCTAGAACAGTGCCTGGAACACAGTATGCAGGCAGGAGATATTTGCCGCTGTTGGCTGTTATTATTGCTGAAGAAATACATTCGCATTTATAGAGAGGCTTTAAAAAGCCCTTTCAGACACCTTGTCTCCTTCTACCCTCGTCACAGACCTGCTGGGTAGGGACGTGACTGCTCTGTTTTTCAAGCGAGGCTCTGAGGGGGGTGAAGTAGCCCAAGTTCAGGACTATATCCTCTACACCTTCTCTTCCCGGGCTGCTGGGTGCCAGGAACCTTGCTGGGGACAGGTAAGAATGATCACCTTCAAAACGGTGGCCCCGAGCACCTCACTGTGAAGATGCCCCGGGAGGTGAAGGGACTGCCTGTGGCTTCACAGTCAGTAAGCAGGTGAACTGCATTTGTTTAAAGCCGGTTGATCCTCCCCCCGCCCCCTGACCCCCTCCCCACGCCCTGCCCATGCTAGGCAAAACCCTAGTGTCAGCAAAGTGTAATCTCTTAACCCACGGCAGTAAAATGGGCTCCTGATACCGGTGTCCCAGGAAAACGGTGAGGGTCAAGGGAGATGATGGAGTGAAGGGGCTCAGAAAACCCATAGGTGTGTGGGCCTGACACGGGTCCGATTTGGTGCAGCAGCTGTGTCCCCGTCAGTGTTTCTTTTTCTCTTTCTTTCTTTCCTTCTTTTATCTTTTAATATTTTTATTTTATTTTTGAAAGAAAGAGAGAGGGACAGAGCATGAGCAGGGGAGGGGGCAGAGAGGGAGGGAGACACAGAACCCAAAGCAGCCTCCAGGCTCTGAGCTGTCAGCACAGAGCCCGACGCGGGGCTTGAACCCACGAACCATGAGATCATGACCTGAGCCCAAGTGGGAAGCCCAGCAGACTGAGCCACCCCGGCACCCCTCCCCTTCAGTGTTTCTGATCCCCACAGGTTCCCAGGCCTCTCCCAGCAGAAAGAGGAGTCTTGAGAAACTCCTTCCTCAAAGGGGTTTCCCGGACTGCTGTGCCGCCCCTCCCACGGCTGTTTGCATTTGAATCTGTACAGCGGGGAGAGTAAAATGCTCAGCCAAGTGCTGAGACAACAGAGGGATCACGGGTTTGGGAACAAGATCATCTTGGGGAAGAGTCATCTAAACTTATGTCAGCCACTGTCTGCTCTGGCTGTGAGGAATTTTGGAGTTAGGCAGAAAGGGGTCCGAAGCTCCACTCCATGTTGGCAGCTTGGCCTTTTATGTGATCCAGCCCTCAGGGTTTCACTTTTCATGTCTAGGAAGAGGGGGTGCTCATGTCCCCCTTGCAGATCTGTTAGTGACAGGGGTAAACACGGAGACCCGTCCTTTGGGACAGGCACTGTCTCGACACTTGTCGCCATCTCTGGGTTGGACACTCTGCCCTTCTCTGCAGGGCCTGGGAGCCTGGTCTGCAGAGACTGCCTCGGCCAAGCTCCCTACCCTCTGGTTCCAGGTGGGTGCAGCCGTGGGAGGCATCCACAGGCCATCAGAGGAAGAAGGGGTGAACTGGGTCCGGAAGGAATCTGGGCCCCACGTTTCCCATGGGGAAACAGCCAGCCAGTGTGTGTGTGTGTGTGTGTGTGTGTGTGTGTGTGTGTGTCCCCACATGGTGCACCTGTTGCCCCGGACTGAAAAGTAGGCTGAAACCTAGCCAGTGAGGGGAAGCTTCCCCAGGGAGCCTGACCTGGGAACGTGTGTCCTGTGGACTCCACAGCCAAAAGGGGAGGCAGGGGAGGGCAGGATGATCTTCTGGAGACAGAGACCCAGAGTGAAAATGGGAGTGGCCCCAGGAAGGAGGCTGAGAGGAGCCCAAAGACCTAACCCTAAGAAGCAGTCTTGGAGGATGGGGACAGAGGGGAGGGGCTGGACCCACCTCCAAGATATGATAAGATATGGTCTGGGTGGCGGCGGAGGGCTTCACAGACCAGGCAGAAGGGAGTGGACCAGGCCGCACCAGCAGGAGGGGGGATGCAAAATAGACCCCAGAAAGGAAGTCACTCTTATGATGACGAGGAGGTCCAAGAATACAGTGGTCCAAGGAGGCCTCTCAGGAGATTTTAAAGAAGTCCAGAAAAGAAGCATCTGGAATGGACAGAGGCTCCAGGAAGTCCTCACTGTGGCTTTCAGGTTGGCCTGAGAAAAAGTGTAGACCATCACCTTCTCCACTCCTGTTAACTGAATACCAGAAAATATGCAAATCTCTTAAGACAAGTATCTCATGCAGTTAATCTCATGAAGAAGGGGCGAGGACCCATTTGTAGATGGGGAGACAGAGGAGGAGGTGACCTGCCTGAGCCGGGATTCCAATCTCTGCCCTTAATCCTGAATGTGCTGCCTCCGAGCTCTAGGTGGCCAGTAAGGACAGAAGCAGACCTGGAGCCAGATCTCAAAGCCCGTCTGTATTCTGTGTTCTGCTCACATCCCTGGAGAGCTCAGGCACCTGCTGTCCACGGGGACTGGGCTGGGGTGGGACTGTGGGTCACAGGTGTTTGGGGCAGGGCAGAGGCTGGCACTGCGCTCCTGAAGTCTGCATTCCCAGCCTGAGGCTACCATCATGAAAAATGCTCTCACATTGACTCGGAGAACAAAAAGTCAGCATCCTGGGCACTGCGTTCAAAGCGAGGGCTGGCTAAATTTATCTTGGGAAGGAATGTGAAGGAACAGGGAGAAAAACCAAAGCGGACTTGGTTTTTCTCCAGCACCTGCCTTCCAAGAGGCAATACGTATGATAAGATCATTATCTCACCAACCACCCACCCTCGGAGGCGGGTTGGCAGGGACTGGTTCTCTTCCTGGGTAGGAGGGAGGAAGCACGGTGCTCAGGGAGGGAGGGCCCAGGCTAAAAGCAGGGAAGGGCCCGGGAGTCCTGACTTCTGCTCTCGAGTGTGGCCGGTGAGTGTCACGGCATCTGGCCCAGCCCTGTGGCACCAGGGTCTGGGGTGTCTTCTCTCTTGGCATGTGGCTGGACCATATTGCCCGCCCTCTTGCATCGAACTAAGGCGGGGGCCTTGGCTACTTCTTGCCAATGGAATGTGAATGGAAGTGAAGTCTGCCAAATGTGGGCTGAGGTGTGTTGGAACATCGTACCTTGTTTATCCTCTCTTTCCTCATGGCCGGCCACTGGGGAACTAGGGGTGAACTCAGGCCCTAGGGGAGACTGATTCAAGAGGTGACAGGAGCCCAGCTGCCCGAACAACTGCGCTGACCCAGTGTGAACTGTGCCATGGGCAGTAAACAAACATTTGTGTGAAGCCTCCAAGCTGAGGGGGTGTTTGTTACGGCAGTTAGCAATATTTACCCTGACTGTTACAAACATCCATAATTTTCTAGCTGAGAGACCTGGGGTTCAGGGAGGAGAAGTTACCCACCAAAGAACGAAGAGTGAGTTAAAATTGGGGAGTTTTGGGGGTGCCTGGGTGGCTCAGTCAGTTAAGCATCGACTTCGACTCGGATCATGATCTCACGGTTGGTGAGTTCGAGCCCCACATGGGGCTCTCCGCTCTCAGGGCTGAGTCTGCTTCAGATCCTGTCTCCCTCCCCACCCCCAAATAAATAAACATTAAAAAAAATGGGGGAGGTTTTCAAGAGTAGCCAGGGAGAGAGCAAATTCCAATGATGCCACATGGCTAGGATTTTCCCCTCCAAGAGTCTTGGAGGTCTGGGCGTGGTTCTGTGGCCTTTGACTAATTTTTCCACCCTGGACAAGCGGAAACCTCTCTGAGCTTTCTTCCTCAACCGAGCGGTGAGAACAGAAAGAGCCACGGGGAGGACGGAAAAGTGCCTAAAGCTTGTCCCTTTCCTTTCATATCCTAGGATCATGATACATGAAACAGTATCTATCCTGGAGAGAGTCCTACCAGTGGGAAGAACGGCCAGCATGTGCTGAGTGCTTACTATGTGCCCGGCACTGTGCCAAGTGAATGACACTTACTAGCGCATTGAATACTCAACCCCGTGGAATCGTGCACTGCTGCTCTTCCCATTTTACAGATGAGGAACCAGGATCACACAGGTTGAGCAATTTGTGTAAGGTCCCCAAACCACCAGTCGGTGAGCGAACCTGGGATTCAAACTCAGGCAGTCCAGTGCCACAGCCCACACTCGTAGCCAGCATTCTAGACTGTTCTTTTTGCTGCCTGACTTCTGTGAGATCCTGGCCAATTGCTTTCAGTTCTCCAGCGGGGGACCTTCTGTGTTGGGAAGGTGGGTCTCTCGACCCAGAGCCAATGACCCAGAGTCACTGGCTGGGAGCAGAACAGGAAGCACATGCCGGCCATGCAGTGTTGGGAGAGGGATGCCTAGCTTCCTTGTCTGTAAAGGGGATGGGCTGAGCTACACCGTGCACGGCCCTGATTTCTCCCAAATCCTCCGATTCCTACCTCTGCAGCTTTGGTTTTCTCGGCTGGGAAATGCGGCTGGCGAGAGCGATGC